TACACTAGTTGAAAATGATAGACGTTTCCAACATCGCTTATGCCACGCTATATAGTACTATGTAGCTGCGTCTGTATTGCTCCACGAACTTAAAAGATGTTATACCAATCAAGATTTGTCAGGCCTCGCTATCAGGTCACCCCTTCTTGTGCATACCAGTAAAACTTACTTTCAGCAGCATGTACATCGACCGGACAGAGAAAAGTTGGTCTACTCGGATTTCAGAACACATTCCGCGAAAGCTAGTTTTCAGTGGTTCAATGTTACGGATTACTCGGTGTGCCAAAACGCCGCGTGGTATTCAAGATCATCAACAAACAAAATAGTCTTAAATTGTTGCGTTTTGCTGAGGCTCCTGCCATCCGGCGTTTGAAGCCCAACATGTACAAACAGCTTGAGATGGTGGCTAACCTTGTTTTGCCTTGATAAAGCGCGAGAGCTTTGCTGGCATAACTAAACATCGTTTTCTGTGGTTGACGTGACATTCCCCAACCGTTTGAACTTTTTAGCCAATGTTTGTAACCGGGTGATGAGGATACGCGAAAGAGAGTGAATTCAGATTTTGCCTCTAATCTATTGCTTGCTCTTGACTCCGGTGTTTCATTCGTAACAAGCATTTATAGAGAGGTTTACAACAAGGTAATCTTTGGAGTAAAAAGGAAGCAATAGATGTAGTCAATGCTTCACATGTGTCTTCAGAAAAGCTCACCTTAGAAGGGTGAGTGGTGTGGAGGACAGTTTGAACCTCAACATCCTTCTTAGCTAAAACGGGAAAGCGGTTGTGAGTCCTTACCTGTGAAAGTTACTCATAGTGGTGTACATCCCGAGTACCAAGGACCCCATCTGATGCTGGGGAGTACGACAGAGACACCTTGAGTCGGGTGGCACACCATAATATGCCGTGCGGATTTTCAAATTTAAATAGAAGATGAAAGTAAAAGATATCCTTTTATATGATTCCGCGACGCCCCGTATGTTGGTGCAAATACAAGTCTATGTTAGTTGGTTTAATTGTTACCTTTCACCTACTTTAATTTATGTATGACTAATACGGTACAACTTGAGGTGTGGCAGCAGTATGGTGTTCGATGTAACTGGTAAAAACGGAAGATTCTGCCGCACGAAATGCCTGAAATATTGGGAAAATGTTGTCGGACATGTATTTTGTGGCAACTCTTAGTTACCGGTTTCAGTTTCGCTATCGTTTGGTTCTTGAAATTTGTTTACACACGACATTTCTTTACTTAGATTGGCCGCCATACGTCGATCGTAATGTATGTTATTTCAGGGTCCCAATTCCGCTAACACCGTCATCGCGGACGCACGTGATTGGTTCCTAATTCTACCGCTTCTCATTCGCCTGCGTCCCTCAGCAGCTTCTGTGTTGTTGGTTGGCACCGATGGGTTATAATGGCTTCGTTTTTACTGCTATTGTACCCTATATAAAGAAGTAGTATTCTCATGCATTAAATCCTATCCTAGCTCGTCTTTCGTGTCCTGATTGCGGTCGTGGGGTTCGAACACCCGGCGACGATACAACAGCAAATATGACAGTTATGGGTATGTATGGTTGCGCGTAAACTGAAAAAACGTATGTGTTGTGTTCAGATAACCGGAATTTGGAAACTGGTCGAAAACAAATTGAGTTCTTAAATATCAAACCTGAGAAACCATATACTAATACAAAAAATGGGATCTCGGTAAGTAGGGAGACTATAATTACACTAGATTCCTGATTAACACCTAAAGATCAGTTACCGGCGTTTGTACACTAGAGAATTTGGAGAAAGTATTATTTTATCGGACTTTCAATTGACGTGTTGATGGAACGGTATCCATTAATCGAGGTCGCTCACACATCCGGGAAGGTACAAGCCAAAAATAACATGCTCCCGTGGTTGACTACGGTTTAATGGACACCATCCGTTGAGGTTGAAAAACACACTTGATTCGCATTGCAGTATCAAAAGCTGCGCATGACAGGGTTCGAGCGGGCCTTGCAGGGTTACAATGATTTAATTACAATACATAGCCTCGGTTTAGCCATTTGTGGGCTGAATTATAGTTGTGATGGTTTACTGGACCAACCGTGATCTATCAAGTCTTGCAGTAGCGAAGTGTTCGACCCAATGCCACATCCCATTTGACTTCTTCAGCAGTTTTCAGTCAGAGACAGTGGGCACGTGGAACCGGAACTATCCGGCATACACGACTGGCATGTTTTTCCTCGTATCAATACAGCTGTAAACGTACTGATCCGTCAAACTCAGCACCTTATGCTCGTGATTGTATAATGCGTTATAACATAACATATAGAATCATGATCTCAAAACTCTCAAACCGTACACAGCTCAACAGGAAATAACTAACTATTTATTTCATTGGATTTATGGGATGCGTTAAAATCGTTATCTGTACAAAACAGTGGAATGCAGATTAGCCCGTTACGCAAGGAATACTGTGGGCATTTCAGTAGCAAACACGATTGGGCCCCTGATTCATGAGTATACGTCTAACTACAGAAAGCAGCAGTCTGCAAGTCAACCTAAAACACCGTTAAAATTGACATAATGTCACCAATCTGCAAACGATAGAACAGAAAAGACAGCTTGCTATTCGAATATTTCCGATTCCAAGTACCGGTTACCTTCATGAACAAAGTTCGACTAAAGGAAGAAGCCAAAAGTTGGTGGTGTTAGAAGTGCTTGACAATAAAACTATCGCTAATAAGACACTTGATAGATTAAAGCGGTCTTTTGTTGTGATAAATTGATTAGGTTAAGTAGTGAACGGAATTTTTTGGCAATATGCTCCTCTCCACTATGCTGGTCATGGAATGTACGGATACGCTGTCCACTACTCTCGTTCTACATGTTAGCAACGGGTGAGAAACGTCTCAGGGAGGAATCGCTTGCACCTGTTCAGTAAGTGGACACCACTGTTAAGACTGGAAAATGAACTTAAACGTCAGCTTTGGGGCAAAGCAGCTGATGACTTAGCTGAAACCTGTTTCAATGCTAACAACTAGATAACCGAAAGTAAACTTGGAATTCTGAAGCTCGTGTCATAAAATTGGGCAAGCTGATCGCGAGCGCAGTGGCAAACAATTGCTTGGATCTTGATCTCACCTAGTTATTCGCGATGCTTACCTGTTTCGCAACAGTGCAGGTGCAAGTAAACATAATAATATAAATAAATAATATCTATTTTCATTTTGTGGAAGAATAGCCTGAGCAGGCAGGGTCAAGTAGTTACAACTTTATCGAAGCATGAGTCACAAATCGGTTGGTTGTGCTTACAACTGAAAAACCTTCGTCACCTACTCCCATGATATGCTTTGAAATAATAATGTTAGCATACGGGTTTGCAGGTTGAACAGACCCAATGAATGTTATTGTGTTTAAGAATAGATCCGGCTGATTGAGGAGTGCTGATCGAACAACCGAGGTTTCCATGGTTGGAGTTGGCTAGGTAGCAATGGGTTCAACGGCCGTACTTCACATATGGTAGGATTGGATGGTTTACATTCCGAGACGAATAAGGCGATAAAACTTTCGGCACACAAAGCAAGAACGTCACTATTTTAAGTGCCAAGCAACTCGTTCGAGGTCTTGACGCTAATATTTTAACATAGATTTGCGCACCTGAACGACATATTAAGCGGTGGTTGATTGGCGTTTTCCGCATGTGTGTGACGATTTTTGGTGGATGACCGCGATGAAGCTATGTACGTAGAATGCAAAAGTTCTGAATTCGTATCAAAGTACGCTGGCATTCGCGTTAACTAAGTGCCCAGTGAACATAGTTGACGGTCACTGATCGCATGCTTGCAGCTGAGTTCTTGCAGTAAATCTGGTTACTAACATGGGTATTGAATCTGTACGCCGTCTATGGAACTTCTGGATGCTTGTCGACAAATTTCGACTAGAAGCGAACGTAACGAGACTCGCAAAGTCTTCAGAGCAAAACTGCGCTGTAGGCTGAATATAGACTGCAAAGCCCGGTAGCCATATCGTGCGTCGAAGAATAAGACAATCCTTGTCCTTTGTAATCCTCAGAATGTATAGAGCTGCTGCTGCTGCCGCGAACGTCATGGCTGATAAGTATAGTAGTATGCTTATTTCTTTCTCTGAATGAAGCCCACGGTGTGAATTGGCAACTAAGTGAGCTCATCGTAAACTACTTCCGCTGTAACAATAACAGAAAACGGCGCACTAAACTGAAATGCCTCCGGGGAAGAACGATGCGGAAATGTATGGTAACGTTAATGACGGCTAACGATAGATAACGGTGTTCCTGCCAGGCATGAGCTAAGCTGCGAAGGCATTGATGGTCGAAGGCAATTGGCGTCACTATCTCTGTCGATTTGATGGGCCAGGTTTCGAAGCCGCACAGGACGGTCGAGTGAATCAAGGAATGGTTTGCAGCACATTAGTTGAAATGTGTTTATCATCTTCTACTATCGTGTATTTATGATGATTATGATGGTGCGGTTGAACTTCAAAAGATGATGAGCTGTCTGGAGGAAAATGGATGAAAAATACGCATGTATCAATGTGGATGCAGGCAGTAACACAGCGTGCTGCGGCAGAATGAACACAGATGATCACATACATAGATAATAGCTAAACTAACTGTACGGTGACATTGGAACAACCTAATACCGAGCAAATGATGCCGTATATCGACCGGATGTGCTCCTTGCACATAGAAGATAAGGTTCCTCAATTTAATTGCCTGATTGTAATAATGGTACAAAAAGCTACTGTGCACCGGGTTGCTTTCATAGCGAACTGTAACTCCGTGCCCAAGGTTGAACTGATTCCAACTAACTCAAATATCCATATCAGGCCAGTCAGGAAGAGAGGTTAGGGCTAACAATCTGTGAGTTTACACGATCCTAAACAAACCATAATCATAACTTGTTAGTGCTGAAGCAACTTAACCGTAATGACAGTGGCTGAATCATAACAGATGGGGTAAATTATGGACCTACTTACCTCATAGATCTCTGAGTAGAGGATAGCGAACGAAGGTTGCACAGCACCAGCAATCATACAGCAGATACACCCGAGGATGATTTGCACCAACTCCGGCCGGTTGAGTGCAAACAATCGCTTGATTGGAGACACCTTCTTCAACTAAATCCGTAGGAACAAGTGAAATAAAGGCGAAGAATGAACTATCTGCTGCAGCTTTTGGATGTATTTGGAAGCTACAAGCTATCCAGATTCAGTATATTTACATATGATAGTGGACAATACTGGTCGCGGCTAGCACGGATCTACAAAGTGAATGTGAGCGGAGCCGAAATTATTCGTGAACTATAAACATAAGAGTGGATTTTACTGAATCAGACCAAACGACGCATATTCTAACTGAAGGTTTGATACGAAGTAGACAACGGGATCTCAGAAACAACTCTTGATTCATTTATTTTGGAATGAACCTATGGTATGATAATGGAATACTTATAATACACGCAGAATACGACGCAGTGTCGGATATACTTTGTTCGTACTGATAGCCAGTAACATTCTTCCTGTCAACTTAATCATTAGCCCAGCAGTCCGATGGGAACAAAAGTAGATTATTTCTGACGAATGCGAAAACTAATCTGAGTACTGTTTTGGCATCGTCATTATACATTATACACGTTAGCTAGAGGTGGGAAACAAGACAGACATTGTGCCGCAATGCATTAAAAACTGCAATGGTCCAGATTTAAGGATAACATGTGTCGGCTCTTTGAATGAGACTTAAAATCTGCCGCATCAGTGGAAAGAAGAGTTAGAGGACACAGCACAGTTGATGAGGAAACAGTACCCCTGTCTTCCGTCTTCCTTATCCAATGATTAACCTTCCAAGCGAGCTAGTTCAAGCCAATAAAGTGCGTTGTGCACGCAGGACGGGTGTAAATTGAGCCATATGCAGCATAGTTTGAAGCAATTCAAATAAGTGGATTAATAAATGGTTAACACACTACCCTATCACAGCTTAATCTAGTTGGTTAGGGTGCAGCAAAATGCGCGCTCGATAAGGAACAAATAACGAAGGATAAACTCATCTGTTTGACGACTTTGGCAAACATTATGACAATACACAATAAGGGGGTAGCTTGTGTTGGTAAGTACTACTGACGCTAATCTTTTGCAAGAAGTAACGTGATCGAAAACCAATATACCAACAAACATCAGCTTTAATACACCGCTACATCGCGATAAGCGTAGTAGCTACCTAGCAATTAATCCGAGGTGCGTACTTGGCAGAAAATGAAAAAGTATTGGTGAGCAGTACGTCTAATGTTGAAGAACGCACGCGGGAACAAAACGCAGTATCAGATCATGGTGAACAGAGAAAGCTCTCAGACGAGAGGCGTTGAACGATGAACTCCTGACTATTGTGAGAGTTTCATTCACACGTGGTGACCAAGATAACTCAGAATTAAGCAGCACGCCGAGGGGGAATGCATCCCATACTTGCCACTTTGTTTAACCACTTATGTATTAGCTTCCATGCTTTACCCCTTCAATCTATCGTTCGCAACTAGTTTTGTTAGTGTGTTGACACGAGACATAACAAGTAGACTCCTCACTCGATAATGCGTTAGGATAAACGTTGTTTAATTGAGCGGAGGTGAAGAGAGTAACTGATATCCGAAGTTGTTAAAACTGTCATCTGTAACCATGTCTATTTCTCCAACAACTCCGCATCGAAAATGTTAAATTATGGTAAGCACTCCTCCACAGGGCGTTGTCAGAGTGTGTAATGAACTTCTCGCCTATGCAGCTGCACAAAACTACGTATGCCCATACACGGGCATATGGTGTGGCAGTTTTCCCTTGTTTGTCATGTAGTTTGAGTGCCCAAAATCCAGCCGATCAAAAAATAATAGATAAATTGCTTCAGTGATTTCGGTCCTTTCAGCGATTCTTTTAGGAATTATTGTAATTTTGCAATATTAAATTCCACTAGTTATCCAACTCCAGAAGATGTGGGTGCATTAAACACACGCTCGACTTGACTCAATGCTGATATAGACGTTGTGGCTGTTCTTTTTAATCCAGTTACTTTGGCCGGTTCATTGTATCTGTCCCCATGTCTATTCAGAATTATGATACGATTCCTGACATATGCAGCACCGAAACAGTCGAGTGATGAGAGTGCGTTTGGACCTCAGGTTCAATCGAAACCGATAAGATCTAAGCAGTGTCATTTGAGCTCGGACTGGTTCACCGGGAAACAGGAGACGGACCGCTTATAAAACCTACTTATCCACCTAGCCAAATGACCGTTGTCATGGTCGATTTGAGTGGATATGCTGAGCTGCAGTACAATAGCGAGGAAAATGACTTTGAGGGTCTGTGCTGATAAGAAGTTAACATTGCAAGAGCTCAACCTCATAGTAAAGTACTCGTCACTAAGCTTTGATATGACCGAAAGCATTAAACACAGTTCAAAACAATGTCGTTATCCTTAGAGTAACCCTGTGTAACACTATAATGTTTACTCGTGGCTAACCATGCAAAATCGTCAGCATGCTACCAGGACATGGAGAATTGAAGTGTTGACCAGTATGATGCTGGTTCATGTCAATACGATGACACTGGTCTTGATGTTGCGGTAGGAATGGATCTACCCTTGTCATCAGACGCACACTTTCTTATCCTTCAAGAGAGAAATGCGCCATTCTTGTGACTAGTTGGTAGACGGGCAAGAGAAGGTCAATCCTAAAATTAGGAAATACCATGTCACTTAAAGGCTTTAGCGACGGCAACAGTGATCGGGATGCGGTAGCTATAGTGAATATCCACTTTATCGAATGTGATGTGGAGTAGATTCATGCACACTTAACATGGCGCTTATTTCCGAGCATGAGACAACGGCGCACGGAGTCAGACGGCCGCAAAACACAAACGTAAAAAGAAAATTGGTTATAATGGACATCATAACTAGAGAACCCCGTCAGATGGAAGGAACTAAAAACAGAGGAAATGCTGGAGTCGATGGGGGTAAATGACACAGATAAAGTACAAAACCGTGTTCAGACAGTTGGGTTATCTATATGCTGTTGTGCTCTCTCGCGTAGCCCCAGTAACAAGAACTAGAAGCCGTACAAGGCATTATGTGGCAAACTTAGGCTTGGTCACCGCAAAAGGGAAATCTGCGAGCCATCTCAAGCTCGCTATCGATTTGGGAACTAGTAACAGCCAGATTCCTGCTCTGCGCTGTATGGCAAATCCCCGAAAGTTGCCCCGACAGGTTTCACCTGCGAACCAAGCATTCGGTGCCGCTTATATTGCTTGTGCAAGACGAACTTCAATTCCCTTCTTTTATGATCCTAACAGTTACTAGGATATATAACAAGCTATGCATGCATTCAGAGTGACGGAAGTATTATGCGCTATATCGGGACATAAAGGCAAAAACAATAATATGGTAGGGTGCTATTACGTGTAAAGTCAAATGTAGTTACCTGTTCAGTGAATGCTTGCGAAAGCACGCTGAAACGTTGCTTGATAGTAACAGTTGACCCAACTGAAGCAGTCTGAACAAGGAATTGATGGTGAAGATGCGATTCAGCAAAAGGAAAAATTTGCATAAACTTGATAAGCTTATCTCAATAAAGTTGTGATAGCATCAGAAAGAGATGTTTGAGACGAAGTGGTTCGCTCAAGGAACTGACTGCAGTCCAGCCTCCCTGTCTACAAGAGCTACTGCGCAAGTTGACCTGAAACGTTTTGCATCAACGTTTGCGTGTTGGAAGCGTGTGAGCAGACCCCGAAGCAACCACGACTACCAATAAAACAAGTCTCTTTCTTAGCCATCCAAGTTTGCAATGGATATCGGACGTGTGGATGAAGATACGCGTGGTGCACTGCAAGTAACACAATAGTTTCCTAAACGAGAGGGCGCCCTATGGCTCTTCTAAACATAGTGACACGTAAATAGGAGAACGTTATGAGTGTGTTTACGCAATACTACAAACAACACGGATTTGTTGAGACTGGCAGTGAAGTTGCCTAAACCATCCGTATGACACTAAGAGAGTTGCATCAAGGCACGAAGGAAGAACCACTGGTGCAGAATTCTAGTGTGGTCAGTTCGTGGTAGTCAACAGCCGTTTGTTTGCGTCTCGCTAGTGCTTGTACCATAAATGGGTTCCGTATTGGGTACTCAGCCCCATGATGGAGTAAACGCAATGTTTTAAAGGCTAGGTGGCAATATAAGTTCCGCGAATTACTACGGGATGTTTGTTAAATGAAACAGCAGTTGTCCTAAGGGTTAAGCGTTGGAATTCTTCACAGTGCACGATACTGTTCACGAATTCCAGAATACTGCACAATATATGGCTGTGCTCAAATGACGCCAGCGCTCCAACACCTCGCATCCACGGTGTACTCTAACAAAAGTCTAAAGGTGACGTATACGCGATAAATCGGTCAGTGGAATCGCCGTAGTTAGTAAGGGTGGATACTTAATGGAACCGGGGACAAAGTAAAACAGAGACTGCTTTTGAGCATCCTGTGGCCTTCTTCTTTGAAAGTTTGCCCTCGTCATTTGACTGGTAGCATCTAATGAGATCCATATGGCGTATGGGATCACATGGTGGTGCAGCGCTGAACTCTAGAGATCGCAAAAAGGAAATTTTACTTCATCGTATATGTGATACCTAAACCATCTCTGAATGGCACACAATGTGTAGACACCAAGCAACTTATCGTTAGCAAGAGGTAATGCGTTTACCCTCCAAATTCGATTTACCGGAGGCCGCTCAAACCGATGACGCGTAACAAAGCAACGCAATATAAGGGTGATGCGAAGACTCATCGGGTTTTTGACATCTAGCAATGCACCAGTTTGATCAAACCAGTGGGCCTTGCAAGGTTGCATTCATTCAACAACACATGATTTGCATGATAATCTGAAATGGTGCCCGATTCAAGTTTTGTCTAATCGTGTAAAATTATGGCATAGTCAACCGGAGTAGCTCACAATTTTACGATATCAAACCAGTGACTCACATCATCCTTCGAAATTCGTCGCCACACACCATCAGGGATTGTGAGCTTATCGGATACGATTTCGGTAGGGGTTCCATCTAATTCATCCTCGGTTGCTTCATCCGATTCAGCAATCAAGTCACTTTGTTTCTGAAAAGTTAGCAATAAGTTTATGTGAAATTCTTTATTTTGGGGCCTGTTCAACTGATATTAATGGTTCAGCGCTCCAAGAACACTCAATTTTAACTTGTTTGCTATCGATGCGACAGCTATGACTCCAATAAGTGCCAAATCAAGTCAAGAAAATGTTTTATGCACCCATTTTGGGTGAATATTCAGCCGTAAGACACGCTTCCAGTGATACAGCATGAGATACAAAAAAGTGGATCAAAAATTGAAAAAGAAAAATACCATAATGGCATAAACCGGTTCGTTAATTCTTGGACTACTTTGTTTTGGTCAAGCGGAAATCGCGCTGTGGGGGATAACTGACGAACGGTACGCTCGTGTACTGGCACATATGGGTTTGTACTTCTGTTTGGTTGAAGTGGTTAACACACATTCACACAATACACAATAGAGGAGGTGTCTTGTATCGACAAGTAGTGTTGATGTTAGTCTCTTGCGAGGGTCAACATGAGTGAATACAATTATGTCAACGAACGTCAGATTTGAGTTACCGATGCATCGCGACAAGTGTTTTAACGACCTGCAGATTAATCTAAAGTCCTTGCCCAATAGAGCAAGAACAACGACTGGTAAGCAATACGTTCAGTGTGAAAGCACACAAGCAGCGACAAAGTGACATATCAAGTCATGGGGGATAGATAAAGCTCACAGGCGAGAGATGTAGAACAATAAGCTCGGAAGTTTTGTGAACGTTTCTGTTATATGATGTGACCAAGATAAACAGTAGCTCAACATAACACCCAAATACTTTACCGATGTGGAAGAGTGCAACCTCTCGCCATCGATGTTGTGTTCCGGGCATTGCTGAGGAAGCTGTTGATTTCGATCTCCCCTGTGTAGTGAAAAAATGACCGCATTTCATTTCATTTGAGCGGCAGCTCGCGGGCCTTTGACCGAAAGGTAAGATCGTTAAGGATATCTTGCAATCTGACTGAAGAGGCAGTGGTCGATTGATCGACGCCCAAGACAATGTCATCTGCTTATTTCAGCAGGTTGGCTCTCCTGAGTCTAATATTGAGCTTACAAAGTTGGAAAAGAGAAATGGTGACAAAATTAACTCCCTTTGTAGACAGGCCGAGAATTTTCGTGTGCGGGAAGATGCCTAGCGTTTGAACCGTGAAAGTTGAGACAGGCCCAAGCATTATCATAAAACAAAGGGAGAGTTGTAATGCAGTTTATCTTATTAATCTCGGAGTCAGTCTGGTAGGCCAAAATAATTTTAACCGTGATTTGTATTGCAGACGACTGTACTCAAAAAGATAAAGCTAAATGTACCTGTGACGCTAATCACTATAAAAATGAAATGCTCAGGTAAGAAGCAAAGGTAATTGCTGGTATTTCATAAAAAGGTAGGGTTTCTAAGGTGGAGGTTTCGTTCGAGCGACTACATTTGGAAGAGTTACTCTGCTCTACCAGTGGGAACATTGATGGTCTTCAGGAGCAAAAACAGATCACCGCAAGGACACAGATGAAATGCTACTGAAAATCAAGGCAGCTATTCAGTCGTTCATCGACTAGCCTGGTTCTCCCATACTTACCAAATCCATATCAGTTTTAAGAAGTTTGGCTAAGTGAAAAACGACGGTTTACTAGCCGCGTCACACAATCCATTATTGCATATCGCAATTAGACTCGGGAAAAGTAGTTAAGGTTACATAGCGTAAAACGGACTTCTTTCCTTTATCTGATGTGACGTTTCGTTCCACCCCATTGATTAGTTAAGCAGCTTGTACTTAACCTAAATAAACAAATAAACTTCTACGGTTATTGACTGGTGGTGTAAAACATCTAGATAAGAGCGATTATTCGTACATAAATTAGTGTTATGATTTCCGAGTTTTAAAGAGGTAAGATAATAACAATAAGATATGCAGATTGAGAATTTTCCCATAGATCAGCTACACGATCGCTCACAATGCATTTGCAGTATGGATGTTTGTAACAATGTTTTCAAAGTTACTGCCTGACGAAACTCCAAAGTAGTCAGTGGCACGGTTGGGGTGAATAGGTGTCACAGGTACATGTTTCATTGTGTAACTAATGAATGAATAAGCTGACTGTAGGCTTCTAGTTGTTCATATGTTGCTTAGACCCCATCATCTGATCCCAAGGTCCAAAACCCAATCCCAGTGGTCAACTGTGGCGATGTAAACGACCCGGATTATCGTGTGTCTATAGTTTTCAAGGTGGCAGCGGAACACCTTGTAAAGAGTTGCATCATTTATATGTGAAGGTATGGGAAGAGCAGACTATTCCAGTCAGGTGGAGCCAATCTATCACGGCCGTCAAACTGGAAAGGAAAGCAGTAAGACACACTGTACAATTTGACGGAGACGAAAAAAACAAATTCTAATATTGATCTGGACGGGGCTGCATTTGGTACCTAAGGCGGCCGGGCGTCATTTTCTGTCATTTGCACTTCGCCACTTATCCGATGCGTATTGCCTAAGTAAAACAATATGAGTAACAGAACCATTGTTCCAAGAACTGGTCAAACGAGGTGCCTGGCTTCCTGAGGAATAGATACCATCCGTTTTCTTTTGCTGTCTTCACGGAAATTTTCCCCAGGACCACACAATGGAGGAGTGAGCTTCTTCACTGCTATCAAATCACTGTTCGCTGAGTACAATTCCATTCTGCTCCAAGAGCCAGGATACTATCACACTCATTGCCATCCGGATTTCCAAATAGCAAAATCGCGTTTCGACACTGACATCAATGCGTTCTGTTGGCTATACTTGAGAGGTAATGTTCCCATTCAGAAGGCGAATATGCCACGCGCGTAATGGTCTATCAAAGGGTCACATCTCTCAGCAACATCGGCACAGCGCAGTGGGAAAGGGTGGTGTGGTTAGAACAGTGAGACAGTCAGAAGTGTGCGGCCACAGCTCGGACCACACAAAACAAAATTATTGAAGGCACTTATTAACAGCTTATACTGCGGATCTAGATCGTGCCGCTGAGGGCTACAGTGTACTTTGTTTATCGCAAAAATGGTTTCCTCAACTCAGCTTACTATCGAGTTCGGATTGACAGTGTAATTACCTAACGAGATCGCACCACACAAGTAGCACACTGAGCGACTGGTGTACCCCGATATAAGCCGACTCGTTTAAATGGGAGGGAATGTGATGAGGCTACTGATAATAAGTTCGGTAATTTGTTGGGTGAAGTGCGCTGTTTCTTCAAGTGTTGACCTTGAGATACCAGCTTTAAAGATCCGCAACAAATATTAGAGAAAATGCCTAGAAAAGGAACTAAAAACAAGAAGACGATACAAACCAGTTAGTTGTCTGGTTCAGCGTACCAGCGTACCACAAAGAACACCACATCTAGCAACGGTTTCCGAATCGGCACATGACGCGTTTAACAATTGTAGCAAGCATTCCACAGCATTCCGTCGAGTGAATTGCGTTCAAAAACAAAAATTGCCATCTGCATTCATAAATGCGCGGTTTACTTCTCGTAAAGGCTTCCGAAATGCGAAACAAAGTAGGGATGGCTGAGTGTCTTTTATCCCAAGTTACTAGGCAACAAAAAAAGTGGAAACGAGAAAAACTCGAGGGACTCCTTCGTAACAAACTGCAGGGTGTGCAAAAAGATACCCTGATGGGCAATCAGTGTCACAGAAAAATTGTTAAAAAACGTGCAACCTTTGGAGTGGAAAATAATTTCCTAGGTTAGCACATGATGGTTGCATTTCGCGCTTTTTCGGGTTTATTCTGACACACGTAGTCGTACAAGTGTGGATCTACATCCGTGCATCGTACGTTTATGAGCTGCATTGTGTAAAGCCATTCTCTCTGAAAAAACCGCGTATCTAGCATTCATCTAAATTAGTAGCTTTTCCGGGTGTGATTCACTAAGATTCATGTCCCTAACATTGCTTCTATCCAGCCACCCGCTTCGATTTAGGACCCTTCGATGGAACATTTCGACGGCGTTCGAACAAGTTATCATTCGTCTGTTTAATAACATTGTGACTCGCCATTCAATAAAGCCACTGCCCTAAACACGCATTGGTAAGTTGACCGATACCAAATTTCACAAATTTTGTGCATATATCTGCTCTCGTACAACTACGCCTAAATATCTGATCAGTGACATGAAGCTTTTTCCTCATGCTTCACTCACCGGACCCGCACTGTGTACGCAGCCTCATCGAGCTAGTTCCTCACCAACATACTCCACATTAATGATCAAATTCTAGTCTTTACATCTCGCATTCCGTGAGGATAGATTACATTCAAGTTTTGGGCCATGTGGGTCCACACTACTGACTATGTTTGTGCTACTCCTGCTCTCCGTCCTGCTAATCATGCTATCATGTACAATATTGCACTATGCTGATCATGCACGAAAGGCGTGCCTCGTTTTGTCGAGAATAAAATATTTATTTATTTACCACAGTGGGGACATCGACAGTGTACTTTGCTCTCTCTCTCACGCCCAGTATATTTCAGTCGATACCAAACGAAACTGGGAGTGGCAAACAGACCCAGCTAACCTCCCTTCGGAGTCCATTTTGTGATCATGCTGCGCATGGTTGCGCAACGCGCCCCACCGGTACACGCAACCGGTATTCACAGTCGCAAATTTCACACTGATCTCAAAGGCGCTTATTTGAGGTGGACTATCGATGAATCACCCGGTCAACTAGTAAACCGATTCATAGCGTTGGGTCAACATTGGTGAACACAAATATGGTTTGACCAAAAAGTTATGTGTGGATTTGCTGCGTGTGGTGAAATGGTTAAAGTAGAACTGAAACGCTCTCATAGTTCCAGTCATTTCCTCTCGAAATGTGCCAGGTTCACAACAGCTGAAGTAATGTGGTACAATAGTTCAACAAACCACTTTGGTTCGCTACCACGTGTGTGATGTTCCACTGATGCAGTATGTATTAAGGCGTTGTGAAAGTACAAACGTTTGGCGGCTGCAATCGCACTTTTGGGTGCAAAAGATGCTTCCTTAGAGGGAGCGACATCATGGCCCGAACAAAACGAAACCTATTCCACCACAAAACCAAACCAAAGATAGAGACTAGGTGTTCGCGTAGTGTTTCAGTGTCAGCGTTCTTGGCATTCCCATACCAGTCTGTCGCTTTTAGTGACTTAATCGTGCCCGGTTCTAACTGCTCAAACCACTTATCAAGTATAACCTCGAAAACGCCCTCAGGGGCACCAGGAATACCTATCAGCCACCAGAAGTGCTATCCTCCAAACGTCAAGCCACTTGCGCAGCAATCCCCATACAACATCTCCAAATACTGACCTAGTTAGACTTATCTGATACAAATGAAACATAAGGGCAAAACGCAAATCTTAGCGACGTTGCCAACTGTATCCGGTAAGTCACAAGCGCGATCAGTCACGGCGTTCCAAATACAGCTGAAGGTCAGACGAAAATGTGAAGTTCTAACAGTCGTGTGCACCAACATTCATCAGTGCAAAACATATTAAGTAAGAGAGACTGGTGAAAGATCTGAACCAGTAAACACCGTTTCTGATCAGAGCGGTATTAAGGCCAAACCCACTCGTATAACGCGACTTATTAGACATCGGAACTCCGTTCACTATAGTGAGCAGCGACGGCTTCGGCTAACGCTGGTATTCGTGTAGAACATGATGTCATTCTCATGTTGGTATATTGTTCTCGGTATAAACACTCCGGTGTATGCACCTTCCCAGATGTTCCATGCAGCGAAGGTCAACGGGTGGGGAAACATTGCACCAGCTCCTGGCCAAGTATTGCTTGCAAGGCTCCTCTAAGCTAATCGGTACACGAACGATTGTCACTGAGTACCGAGCTCGTTTACTCATTACATGTGGAATCCATGTACACAAACGTTCATTAATAATTTATGGGATTTCATCCGGAATCATAACATGTCTGTAGGCCTGCCTTTGGGTTGTTTGTTGGATTTGATTCAGTGGTGTAGAGAAAACATGCGGTTTTTGTTTGAATGGACTGTAGATAAACAAGTCGACGGTGTCACCAAAAACAGCCTTCTGGGATCAGTTTTAGCAGGCATCTTCCATGGCTTAATAAAAAGGTAATTTTGTAATCATGAGTCAATCGAAGTTTTACAGTGGGCATGTAGGCAGCAACAGTACGCTGGTACGCAGTACCGACGCTTCGCTGCCGCGCAACCATTACCAATCGCACGTGGGCTAAGGAAACTGCGAAAGTCGTCCGGTCCTTACGCAAGCTCGAACCCACCCCCACAAATTAGAAAATAGGCTTGTGATCCTTAAGGCTACGTGGCGGCTAGTCTTTACCAGCTGCAAACATTTTACGAATCTGGTGACCGGTCTTAATTCCTTTCACCCTGGTCTATCGGTATCCAGTGAAATGGAACAAATCGATAGCCTGCTATTCTAGATACACTCATTAAGACAATGGCTAAGAGAAAACTGCAATGCACTGTTCAACGAAAATCGATCTGGAGTGTAAATTACCTTCAATTTTTCAGCTTCACCCCAGTAGCATACAAATACAGCCAAGTGAAAACTCTCTTCATCAGAGCCAAAAGAATATGGAAAGTTGAAGAACTGTCGCAGAATATTTTATTGTCAAATGGATATCATGAGAAGTTCATTCAGATCCACGGAAATACGGGTGCTAACATTGGCTTAAAGAGTGTTTATTTGTTCTTGTTGTTCAAGGTGGACCAGGTGGCAAATGAAATCGGACACAATCTCCGGTCCGACGTAACGCGCGCTTATACAACCGTCCACTTGAGACTTATGCATACTACGCGAACCCTTGTTCTTCAACACCGTCAGATCAGCTCATCGGGTAGTTCGGCCTCTCATTCTGGAACAGACCTCACCTGAGTAAGTTTGAAGAAACTTCTTATATTCGTTGTCAACGTCTAATGATGATGAAGCCAGAATGCAGGACCACGAAAAGTACAGATATATGAAACTCTTTCAATGGATGTTATCATATTTCTATCGATATCTAGCCCACCTATTTCTCCTTATAAATGAAGCGGTTTCGAGATACTGAAACAGGTTGTTCAATCCCGACAACGGATATCGAACAGCCCACATAAGTGGCGTGAGTTCCACAGGTTATCTTCAGAACTGCAGTTGAAGACAGCTGATGTCTAGCTACGTACACCAGACCAATTCCCTGACAAAATAGTACCGAGGAGAACTCAGCCTATTCACCACGAAGTTTCATAAACCCATTTACTTAAGCCCGTAGCCACAATCCTTGAGCAGCAATAACACTACGTAATTTTAAATGTAAGTAAGTTATCACCTTATTAGGAGTTGCTGCGACATTGTGCATCTCCATTTGATGAAAAAAATTGACCACAGACCCTATATCATTTGGTGTAAACTCACGTGCTTCATCCACCGCTACTAATAATCATCCAGCTTCCTGGAAACTGTACCAGAGGTAAAAGATTGCCAAGGGCTCACTTAGCAATTTAGCCGAACTGCGACTTCAGTGTGCATTATCCCCACCACCAAACATGTTTGCGCTGCAAAATAGTGGCTACTGAGATCGCGCTAACAAGTAGGTACGTTTTCCAGAATAATCGAGTCCTAAAAGATGATGAAACAGATCTGTATATTCTTCAGCGACGTATAATGCGAATTCATAAGGGATTCGGAAGCCGAAGTGCTAGATTCCATCCGGTGTCACTTAAGGCTGAGTGGAAACGGGATTTGCTGTGCGGTCATTGTTCAGCGCGCCCATCTTCTACACCTGAGATAGACTTTGACTTGGTGGTTGCGTTGAACCGTGTGATAAATAGGAAGCAAAGCAACATTTTAATGGTGAATGGTTTTAACTCACAGGCACTGAAATCTGAAGATGCCATGGGAGGAAAATTTAACGCTGATCTGCAAGATGTTGTTTTCGAGTTTTGGCCTCATGGACACTTGATTGCATCCACCAGGTCCAGGGAAGCGAACAAGCCACCTATACTAGACACGCTATTCACTGATAAAGAACTCGTGATCGATAGGATGATAATTGACACTCCTCTAGGCTGCAATGGTCACGAAATCTTGCTGTCCATGTATATCTGCTATGCAGAATGCTCCAAGGAGAATGCCCAAACGACGCGGACCATAACACGCTGCGATACCTTAGCTCGACTGGTTGAAACAACCAACCGATGATGCATTGGGTAGTGCTTGGAAACGTTTCGTCATCAAGTGTAGCACCCTGGTTGTTGGTGCGTAGGAAACTAACAGTATCTGTTAAGGCAACATGACCTCGTTAGTGTGAAGTGGCATACGTAGATGCAAGATGATTTGAAACGCAGCATGGGATGCTCACTTTTATCATCATCTCGGCTGCTCGGACCAGTGCTGAGTAGAAGCAACGTTTCTAAAACATGAGACTTTCAAGGAGATTTTTTGGTCAATTTGGCTCATCAATTTTATCCCAAATGATTCAGGCATACAGACGTCTTCACGTGGAATATGCACTTCAAGGATAGCATACATCGCGCGAGCAGGATCTTGCACTTTTGAAGTTTCTGCTACACCGAGACCCTAGAAGCGTCACGGGATTTACCGCTTGCCAATCGAACAGTGCTAGGGACTATCAGCAGACATTATTTGAATGCGCTTTCCGACTTTCTCATGTGTTAAGAAATTGTAAGCCACCTTAATCACTCACATTGTCGCCAACTAAAGCGCAATCATTACAACATCTTGAGACGCCACAGTCTAAAACTGGGAGAGTAATACGGTCTGCTGGAGTGTAGATGGACTTTCTTCACCCTACGAGTTCGTCATAAATGGAACTCCCTCCCAACCTTTAAGTTATCCTCTACAATCGGTTTAATCATGGATAGTGTCCACAATGCGCTTGCCGCATTACATGACATAATGTAGCACACATGACCTTTACGAACACCAAAAAACCAGAAAGCATAGTTAGGAATAAAACAGTACCTATTTATTTATAAACGCGTTTTGCTGGGTAAAACCGAAGACACTAATTTTGCAACGTATACAAATCCACGTATGAATGGTTAAGCGACACAACTTTTTGATCGGTAATTTCGTCATTTATGGTTGCTTGTTGTGTACGGTTGCATTTTGGTTTGTCTTCGGGAGCCCAGCAGCGATAATCCGACAGGGCATGTTAAGATTCGGTTGTTATCATCAATACATAACTGGTCACTGACTACTGGGCGTTAAATCACACGGTGATATCCATACTCGAAACATACGGAATAACTGATGTCTCAGAATGAAGTTCGATCATGATATAATATCGTCTAAAAATAAGTGGATAAACTAATGATGTCAAGTACACAAATGAGAGTTTGTGTTCTAAATTTTGATTAGACATAAGTGGGCATCTCGTCCCAACAGCGGCCACATTAAACACTTACAAAGTCCAATTAGTAAAGGAAACAGTACCAACCTGGTTTCGAAGCATGGCAGCGTATAAACCATTCATGGCGACAAGCTGCTCGTGTGTGCCCGACTCGCGAACCACTCCTCTCTCCAACACAATGATCAGATCCGCATTTCTGACGGTGGTCAAGCGATGAGCAACCACTACAGTGGTTCGACCGACAGAGGCTTTTTCCAGAGCTTCTTGTACAATCCTTTCAGATTTGGTATCCAGTGCTGATGTGGCTTCGTCTAATAACAATAATTTTGGTTGGCGAATTAAGGCACGTGCGATTGCAATTCGTTGCTTTTGGCCACCGGACATACCGCCACCCCTCTCACCAATAACGGTGTCGTAGGCCTTAAATGTGGCAGAATAACAGAACGTTTATAGATTAGCTGAAATCGAGACTCATCTAAAAATTGAGTTAATGCAATGCATGTGGAAAGACGAAGGAATACAAGATACAACCACAAAATTTTGCGAAGAGTACTCTTTTCGACAAATCTCCTCAGGCATTTGAGATTGTAAAATGGAAAGGCACAAAGCAAATGGCTGATGAAGCCAAAGTGGTGGGAATAGTGGAATCATGACAAACAGAAACTCAAAAGTCTTGATGATTGAAGTCGACTAATAACACATGTGACGAAGCACGTGCTAGTTGATGGGTGGAATGGCAAGTGCATCATCCGACCACTGTAGGCGCAAGGAGTGACAAAAGTTGGTGAGCTAACCAGGGCCAAGGTAGAAGAAGCCCATGCAGCAAAGCCTTCTGTTTGCATAATTCCGGTTGAAATATTCTAATCGCAATCGCTTCGGCCGTCGGTAAGATTTGCTTTCTAAGACGTTTAGTGTACCGTGGTTGTGCTACATAAAGTACTTGGAAGACATCAGCGGTCCTAATTCGGTGTCCGCTTTCCACCAGAGGTTCCAGGATGGAACTGTGGGGGCGACTGACGATGCCTTTCCGCAAAGCCACTGGGCAGTGTTCCGCAATGCGTTTAGACAGACGCCTGGTTGTGTGTCCCACGTACCTCGCACCACAGGCGCAGGTAAACTGATATAAGATGTAAGATTGGGACTGAACCGGAAGTCTGTCTTTAATGCGTTGGACTATAATGGGAGCTGTTTCCGCAAGGACGTGTGGGCATGCGGCCGGGAAGGTTCGAGCCACTGCTGTGGAAACTCTTCCGGTCAACAGATCAAAGGCAACATCGCCTTTAAAGGGAACTGATAGAAACACGTCCTTCTTAGGGACAGTAGTAATCACTTCACGGCTATCGCGGATCACTGCATACTTTTTGATGAATGGTGTCGCATAACCGTTATCTTGAAGCGTTTTCAGAATACGGATCTTCTCGGCATCTAGCGTCTCTTGGCTGCAAATTTTCGTTGCACAAAAATACAAACAGCGAACAAGATTACGTTTGTGCCTCAAGGGTACAAAGCTCAGAAAATGTGTATATTGGCCTACCCATGTGGTCTTCCGGAATACACTTCTTTCCAATGAACCATCATTTCTTCAGCTTACCAACACGTCCAATAAGGCTAGCTTACTATCTCTCTCGGTTTCGAAAGCAAACTTCAACAATGAATGAACACCGTTTAACTGATTTAACATGTTGGAAACATTGGTGTTTGAATCGCAGATTATAAACGTATCATCAATATAACGACAATAAAAATCAAACGAAGCGATGATGGGTCGTATAGCTTGCTCAATCAAATTGTTTACGTGTCTGCATAGCAGTTTGGAATTGGAGCAAAACTTTTCCACTACACCTTGTTGGTTCTCCAGTTTATCCTCGCGGACGAGTTTGACACAGTGGTTCCTTTGTATTGTGTAGACATCCCAGGTATGGTCGTTCGAGGAGGCTATATAGGTGGGCCAAGCCAAGTCCCTTAATGCCATGCACTTACGTGTCCTGCTACTTACGAAAGACTTCATCCTTTTAGGCCGGTAGAGTTTGGTTTCAGATGTCCTTGTCACGAGCTTGGTACTTATGTTGACGAATTCTCCGCAGGCCACCTAAGGGGCTAATTCAGCTAAGAACCACTAGCTGATTGCATCAATGAGGTCGGACAGGTTGTCATAGTTGGTTACGACATGATATTCCTCGGCATGCTCTTTAGGATAATCCGCGTAGCACATGCAATGAAACACTAGCGTCGCATGATCACTGCGGCTCAAAGGAGTATTGATTATCACTATCTTGACCATCAATCCTTCATTGGTGAATATTCGGTCCAACATGGATGGTCTGTCAGTTCTCCTGAATGTGGTGGGCGTAGTGATGTGGCCATAAAGCGGGAAGTCTGAAACTAAATCTTGCAAATCTGCATTGAATTGCTCTCCTGGTGTGGCCAGTGATTCGAGGGCATATAAGTTGAAGCCACCGGTGACTAGAATGTGACTGTACTTCCTCTTTATCACTTGCCTCAACGCAGTCATCAAATTGCAGTCCATCTCAGGAGTAGACGATGGTGGGCGGTAAACAACAACCAATAGGCCAAGATCGTTTCCTCTCAGCCGGAAATTACACCAAATGGCGCCAGGTACGTCGGTTTCCGAATCTCTTATGCGTTCGCATTGCATGTTGTTACGAAAGTAAAGGGCTACTCCTCTAACTGTGCTGGTTCGGTCCTTCCGGACAAGGGACACGCCTGTTAGCGCAATTTCAGCGTCCGTTATCTCGCAGTGTAACCACGTTTCGGCAACAGCAATGAGATCCCAAGCTGCAGACGCGTGTCGAAGTCTTAATTCAGCTAATTTGCTGAGTAGACATTTGGCATTTGTGTACATGCATGAGAGCATCTAGGTGACTTAGATTGGATGGATGAAGCAAATGAGTTTACGCCGACCAATAAAGGGTCAGAGACTAATCGTTTCTTGGATGGGTTGCATACTCTCGAGAAGTATTTGATATATAAGCAGATGTCAGATGCCCCGGGATCCCGGTGTTTGCTCGTGCTCTGCTGTGTCCTTCCGGATATTATGGCTACTCTTAAAACCATAGATTGCCACTATAATCGATTCGCTCCAATTAGCCGCGACACACTCTTCCTTCCAGATACATTTGAACGGGGAGGTCAGTATATTGCAAAGGAATTCACTCCCATCCTTAACTTTGCAGCTGGGAGAGAATCCCGGCCAAAGGCACAAAAACGACTGAGGGCTGTGATCGCGTTTCGGACCTCGACCTCCGAGGGAAGCTCTAAACTCACCGTCCATGGCTCCTCATGCATCACCTGATTAGGAAGAGGTCCGGGAACAGAGGGCCAGCTGAATTGATCTTGTAAGTGTTCCGCCCAACGAGCCATACGACACTCCTTATTGTTTATCAGTGCACCCGCGCTGTCTCAGATTGTCTCACTAACGCCTCGTTCCCTGGGACCAGTGGTGCGGATCAGCTGGAAGAGCTTGCGGTAATTGCCTACTCCTTCTGCCTCCTCCATTTCTTGAGCCCTACTGGTCCACCAGGCTTCCTTGTCAGCACGTACGCTCTGCTTTACTTCACGCCTAATAGCCCGTCTGGTCACACTGTGTTCAGAGCCAGCCGGGAGGTGTCTTCTAGATTCCAAAAAGTTCACCGACCTCTTGGATATCCAGTGACTGGTGCGGTAACCATTAGTAGTGCCACAAGCAGATGCTCCTGCGTCATACATGGCGGCCGAGATCCTATTCCACTGAAGCTCAGTGTCATTAGAACGAAACAGGGAAATTTCGGTGCGCAGTGCCTCCTGATAGGCCTGCCTAACCGAGGGCTGAGGCAATTTCTCAGATGCCAATCAGAGGAGACGCTTGGTGCGCCTCCCGGTAAAGTTCATGGAGAAACGACAGCGTACCAAGGCGTGATCAAAGTCGACACAGGTACTACAGTACGAGTGGCAATCCAGGACGGAACCACGCCACCTGTAACTTATGCCTATATGGTCAATTTGGGTCCATCGCTGGACAGCTATAGGAGGACGCCAAGTGGCACTTCGGTGCCCACTGTGTCTAAAAGTATTGCTACTAAGAAACTACTGGTACGCCGCACACAGTTGCAGCAGCTGCTCGCCGTTGTCAGTCCGTTCGGAGTTACGTCCATAGTTACCACGCAGCTGAGCTTCCGAAGAGCTCAGACGCACTACTTGTGCGGTCACATCCCCTGCAAGTAATATAATATCTGAACTGGCAGCACTGCGTACTAGCGCGTTCAGTTCGTGACAGAATGTATCCTTGACAGCATTAGAACTGCAGTCGGTGGGAACATAAGCAGAAATCACAAACAAACAGCGTTTTGTACTAATTCATGAATCAACCCTAGCTGATGTCGTCAAACGGGCCGCACATAAACGACTGTTCATCGAAATCCAATCAACCAACGATAGCTCAGCCTTGGAGCTCAGAATGATACCTACACCAGCTTGACCCGTGAATGCTGCATCGGTGTCTCCGGATGCGTGCAACCAATAACGAGAGGATAAGCCGGGTGCAGTTAATTCAACAACCCCATTAGGGTCATTGGCCCTAGTTTCGGACACACAACGGACATCAATACCCAGTGTGTCCAAGGTGAGTGAGAGTGCAGCCTGTTGACCTATTTGTCTTAAAGTGCGAACGTTGAACGTTGCCATGGAAACGGGACAGCGTGGCCTAATAAGGGACTGTTGCCGATAGGCGTCCGATGGGTATCGGGAGAAGGTGGCTGCAGAGGGGTCTACTCCAGTGGCACTTCGGTTGCTGTCAATTAAGCTGGGAATTATAGAACGAAGTTTAGTAATGCGGTCGGGATGGGTGTAAGAGAAACAGGTGGAAAAGAAAGAGGGGAGGCGCCAGTAGTAGTATGTTTTCGCTTAGCCGCCCTGCTGTATGCAGCAGATAAGGCAACCCTTGATAATCTGCGCGACGGCCGATGCAGGATGAAGTTTGTGTTTAAAGAAAAAGTCATGGTGGTAGGTGGACTGGGATAGTGCCAGCGCACTCAGACCTAGACGAAAGGACGATTAGTGTCTCTAACTAAAGCATTTGGCTCAAAAGCCTGTCCGCAAGGCAGCGGGGAGGTGGCAAGGATTTAGTTTTACCGAAATGGACGCCATCCCATTTCAAACCTCCAACCTGGAGGACCAGGAGACTGAGTTTGTCTGACCTCACCACTGACCAACCTGGTAGGAGTAGCTCTCTGGGTGCCCGTAAGCGTCACCCAGTATATCCCAATGGGTCATGGAGGTACGCAAACTGTAGCACCACGTTAAGGACTAGTCACGTTGCGACGGTGATACACAAGCATACCATTAAGTCAGAGGGATAGAAATTCATTGCACTGGAAATCGCCACCTGAGGCATGAGCAGACCGTGGTTGGACAATGAATGGAATGGCTATTGTGGCTACGTCTGCTGATCAATTAAATTTCATCCAACCTATATCACAAATGCCTGCATGGCTAAGAAAAACAGGCGCCCTAAAATATCCCCGATTGTAACGCTGAGCGAGCAATTCGCAGCAATCGTGACTGCTAAGAGTTGAATTGTGCACATGGATCAGAACAAAAGCTTGTCGCACCAGGCATCTGAGTTGTTTGAAGGCCACTGTCCCCAAATGAAGCTACTTATAATCATGCAGTGAATATATCACTTGGATTATGGACGGAGGGTCCGCAACTGAGCCACTCGGCGTGGCAAATCAACGCACAGTCTATCTAATCTATCAGTACGACCCCTAGGATGACTGTCAAAATGAGCCCAAGGAACCATTCGGAGACGGGCGCCTCCCAAGTGTCAGTTATTGTGAGAGCAGCCAGCTGACGAACCGTGACTCCGAATTGGTTTGTTGAAGTGTTCAAAGCCACCTTCGCTGCTGTAGTTCATCGTTCAGTTTGTATCTATCTTAGCAAGCATAAGTTCGTATAGTTAGGAGAGAAGAAATAACACCAGAGCGCATGGAAATTTGATATAAATAAGGAGAGCTGATCAGTGACTAAGGACTCCTAACTCGGTTATCTGACTGCGCCCTGTGATAGCTAAAGTAGCGGAACCACTAACGCTTAACGCAATACACAGTGCTGAATGCGTGCACATTTAGGTAAGCAAACCAAATATCAAATGCTTCAGGCTAACAGTGCGCAAAGAGGAATTCGCATCGCCGGTTAGATGGGGGGATATTCACGAGATAATTTGGAGAACATGGCATGATTGACCCGAGAATAAGCTTTCGGCCGGTAAAACTGTTGCAAAATACCATCAATATGCAATGATATTGAGTTGTTATAAAGCACTCACTTCTGGCTGTTGGAGGATGAACTCATGTGCATTCGCCAGTCTTGCCGCCTCTTCGATTTCCGCTTGCGTGGCGTCCAACTTGCCCATCCTTATGTTGTCTGCGATTGTACCCTCAAATAGAACAGGTTCTTGTTGTACGGAGCCCAACTGAGCCCGGTAGTCTTTGAGGGCAAGCGACCGGATGTCGACACCTTCTATCAGTATCTGAGCGATAGGAATAGGCTTGGTTTGAACAGAGCTTAAGATGATGCGTAATTCATGAACAATCTTATCTCAAATTTTACTATATGAAAGCTTAAGGGAACGGCGGTTAGCGGACATTTTGAGAGTAGCGCACCGGCTTAGTGGGTTTCAGCATATTTAGAGAAACTAAGTACTGGTAGTAATCGCTTACTTGCTGCACGTGTGCAATCGATGCAAAGGAACTTCTGGACAATGCAACAAATACATTAGCCAGGAAAGAAACATCAAAGCAGGCAAAGCATTAATGAGTAAGGAGAACAATAACCGCGCTGAAGCAAAAGTCCACAAAAATTTTTAGGCGAGCTAAAACCGAAAACAATCCATTTCCCTGCGTGTTTACATTTCAACAAGTGTACAAAGTACATTGTAACCATGAGCGTAAGACCTAACTTCGAGACCTCGTAATCATCAAAATTCTACACCAGTGAATCAATGTGGCACAGAAATGTGGTAATAGCGTCTACTTAACAATTGACTCACCTGACCCTCAAGTGGATCGTAGAAACGCTGAAGCATGTGCACAATCGTACTTTTTCCAGATCCACTCGGACCAACTAGAGCCACCGTCTTTCCGCTCTCCAGTTTTAAATTGAAGTCAACGAGAATCTGGGAATAAAAAAGGAAGCAATAAGTATCCGGGGGATTATCACTTCGCCAACTCATTCAGGAGAGTATACTAATGTGCGTCAGCTGTAAGCCGTAACAGCGCTTCACTGCCGATCGACCACTAGCAGTCGCGCGGGCTGAGTATATCGCGAGGAGGCTCACTCCTACGCGAATTCGAACCAAGGACTCTGTGATTGCGAACCAGGTGTGCAGACTACCCGGCCACCGGTCGAAAGGAGAGTATAATGTTCTGCATTTATGTCAAATATCCATAGATTGTTAGTGGGATGGACCTTTAATTAATATAAAGTGGAGTGTGGTATGGAAAGACTTGCAGAGACTAGTCCCAACTTTTAACCAGTGTGTGTTATAACACACTCCCAGCTTTTAGGCCTGCCAATCAACAACGGTCAAGGGCATCCCTTGCACAAATGGCCTGTTTGAAGGCCAAACGGGTAGGGCTGCATGTATCCCATTAGAAGGCCACAAATAATGATGATCGAGGATAGGTAGAAGCGGACAAAAAGCGGATGCTGCTGAAGAAACAATTGCTCAGGGTAGCATATGCGAGGTAAATCCACAGTAAACATACCGAGGAACATCAATACTACGGAATAGAAATCAGTAACAAACTTCATTCAAAGAAAGATGACTAGCTAATACAAGTCATTCTAAATGAAGCTCAATGAAATGGGTTCCAAATTGATTTGTATGGCTAAAAGGTAATGCTGCAGCGCACTATTAATAGCTATCGGGGTCGCACAAAGTTAATCTAATGAAAGAATAAATGACACAATGGCTGCTTTGTTTGGGAAGCTGAAGTGAACGTAAGGGTGGAATTTCTGCAAGCCGGTTATTGAATTTTGATAAAATCACACCTGTAGGTTAGCTGTGACACGTGGGAAGAAACTCATTGCGCAGTCCGCCCGTACGAGTTAGAAACAGAGAGGAGTATGCAAAACTGTTACAAATTTAGCTAGTAAAGACTCTCAGGTTCCTTATTATTCACGGTGAATAGGGGCTGGCGAAGGAGTGCTGTTCAATATAGACTGCATACCCTTGAGTGCGAACTGTACGATAAATATATGCGGCGCCAAGCACCTTTGAGGCGGTGGATAAGTGGTTCAATATTACGCTATGTCGCATGAAACGGAACTTCCGTTGCTTCCATGGCCTCTCAACAGGAAACGAACACATAGCGCGACCAAATCTATCATAATAGAAGCTAGGATTCAGTGGAAAGTATGTAAAGAGCTCGGTCACTAACAAACCAATGTGGTCAGTTTGTGTATATGTACCATGCTTCGATCATAAATGATTCCTTTTCACGCTGGTCAGAATGGTATTTGGCCACTTATGTGACATACCATTTCACGAACACGGTTCTGCATAAAACGTTTAGTGACGAAGGAGTACCGTGTGTCGGTCACAGATAGTGGAATTGACTAAGTGTTAAAAATGCTAACGAATAGCTTAAAGGAGTGGATTTTCGCCACCTTTATACTGCACAAAGGCACCCACAGTCGAGATTTGCTGCCGAGAATCTTTTGCGAATTCTCAAAAGCGCAGTTTACTTCGCTCAATCAAACAACGTCTACTGAGCTAGACAAATGAGTTGACAACTTCCTTATAAAGTACAAGAACGCACCCCAGACAAATGTTGGATACAACCCTGCAAACTTGTGCAAGAAGCGTGCGCGTAGGACAAGCACGTCGTGCTATGCATTTGTTAAAGTTGTTAATCACAGTGGTAATATTCTCCGATCTTATCGTGGAATAATCCTCCTCTACCTCGGTTCCCGGATGAGTCTGTACATAGCAGACGGTATGATCAATTTTTATATATATCGGATAATAATTCGGAATTTTTGAGGAATTCTAACGATTCGTAGCCCGGGTCCATCACAGAAAAGCACGCTGTGTGCAGAGAACTGTAGGAAACTCCACCGGAACAGGCACAAAGCTTTGAGCAGCTGAAGAACAAAGTACACGGTAAGTGCAGCAACCTGGAACTTAATTTAGCCTGTGCCGGATATGGTGATTTCTTCTGAACAATATCTTATTGCTCTTGTTTTACTGTACTGAGATAGCTAGTGCAACTGTGATTTGGCTAATACGATTTATACTTACTGCCACGGTGCGTCACCACGTCTGCGTTGACGCCAGCACTGCGCTTGAGAAAAGTCCAAGCTGAGTCAATTTGTATTCCTACTAATTCATACAATACCACAGAAATAACTATAAATGGCAGATGCCAGTTCAGAGCTACGTAGTTAGGCCTCTATCCTAGCAAATCTCAGCAAATAATCTTTCGCAGAAAGGCCGAAATGAAGCAGAACTAAACATTTGTGTTAGTTAAAGCGGTACCCAAAATTTCAGATTAACATTTCGTGCGTCGTTAGAGCTATCCCAAGTTTCACTGGCTGACCATGCTTTTTTAAGCGGCCTATCGCTCTGTCTCACGCATTGGTGTCAATTGCCAGAGGGAAATACGCCGCCGGCTGTGAAGGGCGAGCGAGAGTTAGATGTAATATGGCTATGCCTAAGTGTAGTAGGAATAAGTGTTGGGAAGAGTAAACCGGAGCTTCAGAAACAGTGTGCCAATCAAACTGAGTTTACGGTTAGTGAAAAATATGAACAGTAATACTAGTCGACCCTTGCTAATTTTGTAAGTTCGTATATGTTGACTACCCTACCTTACATCAGTGGTAATAATTTGCTTAGCAGACTTACAGGGACGTCGGGGCGTGATGGGTAGGAGAAGCTTACACCAATGAAGTTAATATTGCCGACGAAATTAGGCAATCGCACTCCATCAGCATCCTTATCGATTGGTGGCTCCTGAAATAAGGAAACAAAAAAAACATGTTTGGTGGTGACTGAACGGGTGCGAACAAGATCGAGTAGCCTAAAGCGCGATTTGCAATAAATTGATACCTCTGGCAAATAAGAAAAGCAACTGAGCGTATTACTGCAGATAAATGGTTCTCGCGTCCACTTGTATTCTTGTCAGGTACCTAAGAAATCTCGGAAAACCTTGAGCTATCTGCGGCTGAAGTGTTGATTAGTCCACGGAGCTTGGTACGTGGATTGCAGACCATTCTATACCAATTGAGGAGGCATCCTCGGTGTGTATCAGTAAACAGGTTACCAGTGAATGCTGATCATCAATTTATCCAATCACACAGCCCTGAGAAATAATCAACACTTCAACAGCTAACTCGAGCAAATGTTATCCCTGGTTGCTGCCTGTATTTGTTTGAACGATTAGGTGGAGCATTCGTGCCGTTTAGACTTCAAGTCGCAATCTCCTGGTTTGCGCTACTACTGATCGTCTGGTTATGCTTATTTGTTATGCAGAGTTTATTAACTACCTTCCCCGTAACCGGTACCCACAAAAGGGTGAAACAGTGTGCTGTCGGGAATATTTGGCAAATAGGGAAGTGCGTATCATCAGTGGGTTCCTTTAACAAAGGGGAAAATGTTCACGCGGTCCGGAGCTGTGGATTTTATAATAGTCCTTTATAATGAATACAGGTGAGCATATGAGATGCCCGGTGATCGGGTTTCGCTCAAGGTAAGCGGAACGCGAAATGCTTGTGTTAGGCGAAGACGAATCAATGGGTTTGCCTGAAATGAAGTTGCTTGTGGTAGTTCATTCAGATATAAAGTGCTTTGCACAAAACCACCAACGAATCATTTAGTCGTTTTGATAAGTGTTGCCAGTGAATCTTAGGGGTATTGAGTTAAAGGTGTCGGTAGGTAATCTCTTCTTTCCAGTTCTATTATCCCCGCCTAAAGAAGGTCGCTGAGCGCCGAGTTGAGTGAGTGCGTAACACCGAAGATTAGTTTGCTCCGAAAAAAGAGAACTAATCATATACCCTATTATTACTGTCAAACCGATCAAAAGGACAAGGAACGCTTCCAAATATAATTCTCGCTCATCTCCCAGCAAGTGAGTTGTGGTGTTCGCATTAAGCGATGCTGCAGAGGACAGATGAACAACTTGCACAACACGCTGAGCACTCGCGCCTCCTGCGCTGAGTAGATGCGACAACGCAGAACAGTAAAGAACAATCAGTGATTAAGGATTGCAGACAAGTGACTAATTGACTCACCCTTTCAATTGTCCCGTAAACTTCCCTTGCAGAAGCCGTAGCGTTCATGAAGTATTGAAAGTTGGGCAACGCACTGCCTAAGTATATGCTACCCATTAGAACGTTGATGAAAACCTGTAATGAGTATGGGAAGATAATAGAATTAAACAGCTACTGAGGTACCGAAACAGTTGCTGTCCGCCTTCAAAATCACAGGACTGATTTCATCATAACACCCATAGTGTTTGTGGTAGATGTTCTCTTGGCAAAAATCTAATAGCAGAACCCTTCCATCTTCCCACCTGTGAAGGTGTTGGCTCGCACTTGTGTATGGTTGGTATTGAATGACATAGCGCAAGTGCGTAAACCAAAGGCCTACATTTCCTGCCGGATGGTCAGTCAGAAGGCTGCAAATGCAAAAAAACAACCATGAACTTGCTGACTAAGGCTGTAACCCTGTTCAGTACTAACCAAACTAGAGTAGGCTTCACGTTTTGGTTCGCTGGTGTTTATGTGGGTTGAATGAGGAAACAGATGCACCATCAACTCAAACTTTGCATACGGTTAGTGTTGGAGCCTGAACAACAAGTTTCAGAAGGATATTCCAAAAGTGGAGAACGTGTAAACAAAAAAGTTTCAAAGGTCTATACACGGATGTTTTGGCCCGCCATCATAAGACGGCAGATTGCCAGTATGTCATTATTGCTGAGCTTCAACAGATGTGGGTACGTGCAGCCTAAAATCGGGTGTCACGCGATAAAAACCGAAATAGGTAGCTAGAAATTCCTGATACTCTGTTTTACGGTTAGGAATGTTTGTAATTTCCCCTTGCAGCCGATATATCATACGCCCAATGGACGGAACCAAAACATTCGGCAAGGAGCTCGTGATAGAATGCGTATATGGAAAGGCGGTTGCCAGCAGCCCGAGCTCAGGTCCAGCGATTCGTTCAAATGACAAACGCCTGTCTGGTCACGGAGCAGTTGCAAGCTGTAGCACTTGTGCTTGATTGACAGAGAATAGAATTGGTAGTGGCGCATGCAGAAGACTCCCGGTCTCTGTGTTTTGGTTTCCGCTCACGGTACGGATAACCGATACAACTAACCAGAACAAGGACCAGTCATATCACAAATCAGAAGACAACGACCTTTGGCGAAGCGTCTACTGAGCACCAAACAGTGTGCATAACAGAAGATGGGTCAAAATAAGTAGTTGATATAAGAATGATCTAGCTGAAAGTTCCTGGACTCCAACGGCTACTAGATGCCCGAAATTTGCACTCGTTTGCTGCTCAAAGAGTGTGCTCATAGGTGGAGTCTAAGGTAAATCATCCCCACTGATAAACTTCAAGATAGAACGCTGTCATTGATTGGTGCACAGTATATAGCTAATTATATCCAGACTGCGTCGGGCCAAAATCCCTATACTGCTAGTAACCGGACCGACTCCGAGGACTACTATAGGCGGGCTACCTTATTGCTGTAGGTAAGATCACGTTGACATTAGTTACAAGTGGCGTGGCTCCGTCTTAGACTGTAGCTCGTTCTGGAATACCTGCGTTGATTCCTACCCTACTTGGAAAGCTGTCATTTTTCCAAAAGTTTACTGGGAGGCATACCAAGCGTTGGCCTACAACAGCATCTGACAAATTACCCCATTCCTCGGTGTAGAAGATTCCCAAATGTTCTATCCTCTGCTGCCTTCCTACCGATGCCTGCCTCATGGTTGTGATTACCTTTACCGTTTTCCCAACGCCTTTTCCTGTCCCAACCGAGCTTTATTATCTGGCTCTCAATGGAGTTTGTATTCCGTGCCAAGTTACTTAAGTTTGTACTTTAAACACATAGATGACCTGCATTCAAGCGTGCGTGCATTAACCTATATTTCCGAATTCGGGACAGACCTAACTGTCGCTTCATGTGGATTCGCCTAGTGTTCTCAGTTTGTGATGATCCGTTTTAACTCCCTCGCCGTGGCATTCGGATAGTGGCGAGCAAGACATTCTTCACAGCCACATGTGACCTGAAGATGTTGCGAGATAATGTGAGTAGAGTTCACCTAGATGAAACCACCTCTTCCGTGAGGACAATTGTAAATGTTACTCCATGTGCAATCGACACGCAATACCATCACGGTATGTCTGTGTAAGGCAATGGCCGAACGTCTACGTTTCACGGAGACCTCCCTTTCCGACTGGTCATGTGTAAGCCTGTTAAAGCCACAGTACATTGATATGAGATTATCGTGCGTGAACTTGTACCTCAGCTTGCTGACTAGCTTGGAGTGTTGTCGTTGTTTGATAGTTCTGTGTTCGGAAGCACAGATTACTGAGGTATTGTACAATGTCGTTATTAATTCTCTGTAATAGTATCCCAGTTCAGGTCTTGTTTGGTTGTAACCGGTGGAGACGCGTTAACTCAAGGCTCCCAAGCGAACTGTCGCTTACACTCGGTAAGGCAAGCTTATCAGCGTGCCCTGCGTACCGGGCTTTCAACCTAACCCTAAGTATATCGAGCTTCACTGGAATAGGATTTCAGCCGTGATGCCCCTTAGGAAAGCTTCTGTTTGTAACACTATCAGTCGTCACGACAGTAGTCAAAGGATATCCAAGAGATCGATGAACCTGTTGAAATCCAGAAGGAAACTCTCTGATGGCCCTGAGCACAATGTAACTAAGCTGACTATTAGGCGCGAGCTAAAGCAGAGGCTGCGTCCTGACAAGGAACCCTGCTGGACCAGTCAGGCTAAAGAAATGGAGGAAACGGGATAAGTATGTAAACACCACAGGCTCCTCGAAATCATCCGCACCACTGGTCTCAGAAAACCAAGCATTAATGAGGCAATTAGAGACAGCACTGGAGCCTTGATATACAATAAGGCGTGCAATCTGGCTCGTTAGACGAAACACTTACAAGGGCGGTACAGTTTGCAACCTACTCCTGGGTCTCTTCTTGTTCGGATGGAATGAGCTGAATCAATGCTTGTTAAATCAGAACCTCCACAGGAGCCTGAGATCCGAAACGCGATCACAACCCCTGAATCGTTTACAAGCTGTTATTCTGGATTCCTTTGAACTCGCACTAAGGATGGTCTTAAGATCCACTACAAAGTACTGAACTCACCTAGCCGAACAGGTCTAGAAGGAGGAGATGATCTAAATTAACTGGAGGGTATCCACTACAGTGTCAATCTAAAAGAAAGGCAGTCACTGAATGTGTTTACCACAAAGGTCTTAGTCTAGTAGTAACAAAACTAATAGCCTCAATTCTTGTTCGCCGCCTCACTGCGGAACGAGAATCCTGGAGTAGGGGAGAGCAGACAGATTTCCGTCCATGACGGGGCTGTATAGACCATATTTTTACTTTACGGCAGGTGCTAGAGCAGCGCCACGCATACCGCAGACCGACAATAGCTCTGTTCCTCGATTTCAAGGGTGCGTTCGATTCAGTCGATCGATTCGCCCTGCTCAAAATACTTGCGCGGAAAGTATTCCCAAGAAATATGTGAATATTTTACGTACCGTTTACTCGAACAACACAGGTCACGTCAGGGTGAACGGTGACTTATCGGATGTCTTTCTGACAACATGCGGCATTCATCAGATTAGTCCAATTTCCCCATTTTTGTTCAACTTCGTCTTGGATTACATCATAGATTGTTCCCTTGCGGAATCTATCGATGCAGGCGTTGGGGTTCTGCTTGGCGGAGGAGTAGTTGATCGTGATTATGCGGACGATATTATCGTGATCTTTAACGATGGTGGGCTGGCCCAGTCAACCCTGCATAAACTCTCGCACCATTTGGCATGCGCGTAGCAAATTCAGAGTGCAGTGTGGTTGCAGGACCACCAGCCACTTGTTAATCCTTTGAATTCGATAGTGAGGAACTCGTCGTAGACCGATTCACATAATTTGGTAGCTGCATCGGCAACAATAGGTGTGTGGTGTCATTTCGAAATGCTTTAGGTAACCTGGTTTTTCTGAATCAGCACATGGGGATCGCTAGTGTAAGAATATTCCTATAGATCGTCGAGCAAATCTCATAAGGCTGAACAGCCGGATGTCACAACCGAAGCACTCTACACTTTTTAATTTTGACTTAAGGTTTGGGAATGGCCGACAAGAAATATTATGCGATATGGAAGCAAATGTTGGTAGCTCAGGTTGTTCAGTTGGTGGACTGAGTGTTCGCTGAGCTCGGCATGTTGACTGCAAACGTTTCGTCACCACTCGAGGTGACATCGTCAGTGCGCGTGTAATTAGCAGAGTGGCGCGTACGAAGTGTCCGGACAGTGTGTCCAAAAAATTAATTGCGCCTAACTTGGGTCTAAAGCTATGTTACAATATCCTATATTTGAGAAACGATGATATATCGTCATCGTATTACCGACCAGTAGAGTATGACTCTGGAACAATGACTTACACTGAGGGGCGAGAAAATGTCGAATGCAGTAAAGGGGTAATAGTTTACCATGTTATCCTGAAGTTCAACACAATCTAATTGGAGGGTCAATATTGTACTACACGTTGTATAATTGGATCGCGACGCGCAATCTCAATGTGGACCGCGATTCACACTGAAGTGAACCTTCCTCACTGCGATCATTGGGACCGTAGTCAAAGCAGATGGAAATTGGGTGTTGTCCGCCCGAAAACACTGCACAACCAGCTGTGCAGTGTTTTCGGGCGGACAACACCCAATTTCCATCTGGTTCAACACAAGCTGTTTCGGAGACACCACACCTTTGAAGTGGTGCAGCGACGTTGTCTGATCTCAAATACTTGGGAAAGCTCGCTACATTGTCACTATCCATCAGTATCAATTTCTCGCTCACAGAATACTGCACTTTACAGAGGCCCAAATAAACCCTAGTTGAGCAGAAGTATCCACATATTCGGCGCACAAGGAGGTGCAGTCTCGTGGTCCATTTCCAGCGGATATTTAGGCACACATAACAATTTAAAATTTCGGGACAGAAGTCCATGTAGAATATTCTGAGCCTACCTGCATGTGTAGTTAGCTTAAAAATGACAGCCAGTAATGAATGTGTTACATCCTTTTATGTGGTACAACAGTTCCTATATAGTATCGAAACCTGGAATTTTCACGATTCTTAATATCTACTTTGATGTCTC